TTAATTTTCTTTGCTTTCTTCTTTTTGACTCTCATTTTATCAAGGAACGGTGCCTTGCATATATTGGCGTTAAATTCATGCATGTTGTGTTAAACCAAATTTGCATTTTACTGAAGGAGAGAGAGATTAAGGTTATTATTCCCTATTAACAATGTATTTATAGGGACATGTGCCTCTCATCTTTTAAGACAAAAAATTTCTTGAAATTTATAGAAATCTGACAGTAACTGTCGCAGTTACAGGTGAAAGTTTCTGTGTGTAAGAGTATTTTTTTCATCAAGTTAGCAAATGAAAACAAAACAAATGTCCGTGCTACTGGGTCTAATTCAGTTAACTGTACCACTATGAGTACGCCCTCTCTGCCCAGATTGTATACTTTTTGTTTGTTCCACAGGATCGCGTCTTCTAGTCTTTACCTACAAAACCTCTCCAACTGCTTTCCTGCTTGAGTTCATCTTGTTCTATTTTTCTGTCACTCTTTTGTCTTCCCTCACTGCTGTTTTATGATTCCTAAGGAGATTCCTAGGAGGGGGTCACATGAACCAGTGAACAGGGCTGCGGGCTTAGGAGAATCAAGTGGCTAGCACAGTGTGAGTCCAGGGCCATGGCTAGCCGTGGGTGTGTGCTCCACCTGCAAAGGCCGCCCCAAAGAAAACCATGCTCAACTCCTTTTCATCTTGTAATACCTGTGTGAGTCCTAGTTACTTATTGTCCTACTTTCTGAAAGAAAAACCAAGGTCAGGGACATGTCGGGATATGTGGGTTCCATTCTGGCCTGCCTCCGCCATGTCATTTCTTCTCCTTAATCTTAGAGAGTGACACCCATAATTTCTCAAGGACTCCCTCCATGACCTGGCTACTGTTTAACTTCTATACCTTCTCTCTCTCCAGTCCTGACTCCACTGTACTAGAACCGCACTGCAGGCCTTCAAACATGTTCTTCCATCTGTCTGAGACACCCCTTTCCGGCTCCTGTCCCTGACTGGTTCCTACTCAGCCTTTCAGCCTCAGCAGGGAAACCAACCCCTCAACGGAGCTGGTTTTTCTGTTGTTTTTTTTCCTTTCCTTTTCCGTTTCCTCTCCCCTCCTCTCTTCTCCTCCCCTCCCTCCCTTCCTTCCTTCCTTTTAAAAGCAGGCTCCACACCCAGCATCAAGCCCAACACGGGGCTTGAACTCACGACCCTGAGATCAAGACCTGAGCTGAGATCAAGAGTCGAACACTTAACCAACTGAGTCACCCAGGCGCCCTGGGAGCCGATCTCTTGATCCAGGTTAGGCTCTCATATGGGTTCCCATAGCATCCTGGTTCTCCCTGCCACCGCAACTCCCCAGCTTTCATTTGGAATTATTTGTTTACTGTCTGGTTTGCCAGCTAGAATGTATGCCTAAAGGTAAGGATCCTGATTTTTTATTTACTTCTGTGTCTCTTATACTTAGCACATAGTTGGCATTCAATAAATGTTGGCTGTGGGTGGTGGAAAGCAACTAAGCAGGGCATCAAAGGAAGCTTCCCTAGGTTGCTACCAGCTTCACCCCCTTTGCCCCAACTGTAATGGGTATGTAATAAGACAAACATTCCCATTCATCAACCAAAGCTTTCTTGGGGAGAGCACTGTGTTTGTTTAGAAGAAATATTGAAATAGCAGATATATGGTTAAGAATATGGACTTTGAGGATAGATTTCCTGGTTTTGAATCATAGATCTGCCACTCAATGGTGGGAAAACCTTGGGCAAATTACTTCTCTAGGCCTCAGTTTCTTCATGTGTAAAGTGGGGGTGAAAATAATAGCACCTCCCTTAGAGGACTGTTGTGAGGGTTATATGCATGAATACATACAAAGGACCGAAGAATTACTGCATACAGAAACACTAAGTGCTGGCTGATATTATTACTATTAGTAAACCATTAGGGGTTGGGGGTGAGCTCAAGGAACCAAAGTTGGTCAGCAAATTCTGCTTGTCGGGAGAGTGGTCCTGTTCACTGTGGGCTTTCTGTTTTGTATGTTTGGGGAGAGTTGCTGAAGCCAAGCTGATTTACTGTGCCAATTAGCGATGAGAAAATTTCGACATTGGCAGGAGAGGGAGGCAAGAGCCATTTGTACATTCAAATATTTACTGAATGTCTATTTTGTGCTAGACATAAAGGAAAATAAGATAGTCACAGCTGTTACAGAGCTCCCCAAAAAATCAAGAAAGGAGAGAGAAGCTAGAGAGTCTGGGGGGCTGGGGGGCAGACCAGTTTCTCTCCAGTGGGTATGGCACAGCAGGGTAGGATGTTGAGAGAACAGAAATGCTAAGGCAGGATTTTAAAGCATCTGCTCTAGGATGTGTCATGTAAATCCTCTCCTCCATCCCCTACAAAATCTTCAATAAAGTTTTCATTGCTCACTGGAGAGAACTTGAAGAAGGGGAAGATAGCAGATATCTGGGTTATAACTGTTAGGGGAAAGAAGCTATGGGCAAAAAAGCCCTTCCTTACTCTTGTGTACTCCCAGTAAGGAAGCATTACAGTGCATGCAATATTTAATGATTGTAAATGATACCTTCATGCATTGTATAATACAAGACTCTTTACAACGAATATAAATTAAACAGTACCAATAGCAAACATATCACTGAAAAGAAGAGGCATTATTCAAGACAGGAAACCTGGGACTTCGAGGGAAAAGGAGCCTCGAAGCTGGAGTCACATATGACCACCAACCAGCCCCTTTGTGGTTCATTAGTCAAACTGGTGATTCCTCAGCTTCTATGACTTGTTATTTTATAAACCACTGCTTAAGAGGATGCAGACTTTCTTAAACATAAATATCCTAAGGTTTAGGTATGGGGGAAAAAAAGGGGTCTACTACAGGGTCCACTAAAGCGCTCCCATCCTTTTATGACTTCCAGTTTTTCACTTTTACCATCATTTTTAAGAATTTAAAGAATTGTGTATAACAATCTAAAGAAATAACAATTCAAAGAAATGTATATATTTCTTTTAAAAAGCAGCAGCCTAAGAAGTAATCAGTCATCAAACAAAATAAAACAAAACTATCAATTTGCCTGAATTTCCAAGAGTGAAATAAATAAAGCTCTGTTGGAATTTACCTACATAAATTGAGACTTTCCAGAGAAGAGAGAAATAAACTAGTCTTTTTTTTCCCTTAGATTTGTTTACTGTTTAAACCCTGGGGTTTTTGCATCTTATAATGTGACTACTGATTAAAAAGATATATGGTTGTTTATTAATGTTCTCAAAGCATGATGCAAATTCACATCACCTTGGGTATATTTTGCCCCTAAAGCTATGAAGTAAATATGGAAGCATTTTGTAGTTAACAAGGCCAAAATATGTTAATTCAAATAGTTGGCTTTGAATAGGATTTTCCTTTAAATCATTAATAGGAAAATGAAGAGAGCTTGGGTGGTCAAGCATGAAATGTAAATGAGAGTAGTTTTTTTTGTCTCATCCTCCCATGTTATTTGATGTTAAAATTTAAATTTGGTAATGCAGAATATGACCTTATCATGAAACAATGCAGCTTATGCCCCAGATTTTTTGACAGCAGTATTGTAACTATGATTTTTAAGTACCGTTTCACTGAACTTCTCAGTGAAAAATTTAGACATTTTGAATTGGTAGAGTCAGAAAACGAGCTTTCCTGTCCTTTTATCTACAGGACCATATTTTTTAAATCAAAAACTAAGATAGAGGGTGTCAGAGCAAAGCAGAGACAAACCTAGATCTCTCTAAATGGATGTAAAATTACCAGTGAAATCCCTGAAGGGCCAAATAATACAGGAAGCGTATACTTTTGCCCTCTTATTAAAATGAGGAATATATTTCTTTAAAGCAGAAAAGGGCTTTACAAACCTCTGTTCAGCTCTGGGTTTCTAATCAGCCTCAGAATTGCAACCATTCCCTATTGTCAGGCCACTGGTGAGAAGCGCAAAGGAGCCAGCCGCAACCAAGAGCTCTGCAAAATCAAGGTGGACACCGGGCCTCGCTTCTGCCACTCTGCTACCAGACAGAAAATTTCAGAAAGAGGTCAGTTTAAAACACACACATTTTAGCCAGGTTTTAAGTGTAACTACCTCCTTAAATATAACTGATCCTATGATTATAAGCTTTTCAGCGTAGGTGTTAGTGATCCATTTTTCCCCATTTTTTGGACCTGGAAAAAAAAAAAAGACCTCAGAGTGTCATACATTTCTACCAAGAAAATGAATTAATTTAGTAGCATTGGAAAACTATGAAGTTTGTGCCACTTTTCAGATGACCCAGAATTTGGGCTGCTTTACAGGGATAACTAAATTCATGGCAAAGTAAGAATGATAAAAGCTCATGCTAAAATACCCTGTCGAAAGTATGCTTTACTTTGGAAGGCATCAGCAACAGCAATGCACCATTTGCCAGAAATGCATTTCTATACCAACAAAACTCTTGCTATTAGGGCACACCCTTGAGCAACTATCACACTGCACTGAGCTCTTGAGACTATTCTGGAAGCATCACTGTGAGCTGCTGCTTCTCAGCAGGGGAGAGGAATGAAATTCAGCAGAAGCAGCAACTTTTGGAAGGAGAAGCATGGTTTGCCTCTTAGGATGCTTTTCTCCTGGAATGGGTTTACTGAGAGCTCCATACTTCGGGGGCTTTAAATCTGTGGACCGTTGACTATCACTCCGCCTCTTTTGAAGCTACAAAAATATCTTCTGTCTATGGTGTGGCGGGAATAGAAAGTTTGGAAAATTAAATGGGTGAGACTTCAGATAACCCAGATGACATACATGCAATAGCATTCCATGAAGAACTTATGCAGTCCAATCCCTTGCATGTAATTAACCAAGACACACAAAGTCTCCAAATTCTGCACTTCAAAAAAGGAGGGAAAATGCAAGGGTCCCGTGCAGCTCCCGGGACCTACCGAGAACCACTTTGTTACAAATGTATCCAAAGTCCCCAGCACCAGAGACTTCTGGGGCGCCACTCGTCCTCGCTGCACTCGCTCCGCAGCTTCCAGAGGTAGCGGTTGTGCTACGAAGGCAGACCCTGCCAAGCTGGCCGACAAGATGCTGCGTACCCCCAAGTGCTCGCGGTGCCGGAACCATGGTTTCCTGGTGCCGGTCAAGGGCCACGCGGGCAAGTGCCGCTGGAAGCAGTGCACCTGCGAGAAGTGCTACCTGATCACCGAGCGCCAGAAGATTATGGCAGCGCAGAAGGTGCTCAAGAAGCAGGCCTCCGAGGAGGAGCAGGAGATGGCCCTTGGCGCGCACGGGCCGGAGCTGTCGTGTGGGGCTGCGGCCGCCGCCCCAGGCTCAAGCCTCCGCCAGCTGCTTCCGCTGGCAGTTTCGGGAGACCGGGAGGTAGGCCCGGCGTGCCGCGCGGCCGCGGGCTTCCCGGAGAGGCCCCCGCGGGGCCCGAGCCCGGGCCCGAGTGCCTTCCAGCCAGTTCTGGGCGGCCACGGCCACGTGGGGCTGAGCGAACGAGCCACCGTGGCCATGCCCGGTTCCGTGGGGCCCCAGCTCGGGGCGGAGGCCGCAGGCAAGGGCTACCCCGGCCGCTTGGAGCTGCGCAGGCCGCTGCGGCCCGTGCCCAGCCCACCATTCGCCGACTTCGGTAAGATTCCCGGGCCCCGCGTGGCCTCGCCCCACCTGGGATGCCTCTCCGGGTTGCAGCCTCCCCGTGCCCCATGCTGGCGGCCCAGGCCACCCGGGATCGTGCCGGGATGGGCCCTTGGGGTGGGGTGGGGTAAATGCTTTCAGAGGTACTCTTGCTGTGGGAAACTGTTCTCTAAATAGAGATTTGGGTTGGGGGCCATTTTGCAAAAAGGTAAAAAGAGAGCCAGAAAGGAATGGGTGGTTCTGACGGCTTTTAACATTTAGCTTCTTGCCTTTCTGTCTTCGGAGAAAGAAAATGGCCCCCAATCCCTTTAGCTGTGGCTTCCCCTTTAGGAAGACGCCCTAACGAGATGGGCCCTACTGCACTTGCGCACTTCTTCCCGCCCTTTTCTTGGGCTGGTGGCGCCTTCTTCCAGACGCCCGTGTGGGCGGGCCTGCGCAACGATGACTGCGCCTGCGCACTCTTCCCTTTCCGGCCGTTGGAGGCTCCTCCCAGTCAGCTTCCTTTGGAAGGGCCCTGGCCCAATGCGCCTGCGCACCCCTTTCCGCCCTTTAGCGAGGAGTGGGAATGGGACCGTTCTCTGCGCCCCGCTGGAGAACAGTTGGTCTCTTGATATTACCTCTTTTCCCACCCCTCCCATCATATGCATAAATTACATGGTTCCTTATGTTTTGGTGGTTTTCAGTATTAAAAGTACAGTTTCAAGTCACAGATTTGAGCCTCTTTTTGGTGCAGACTCATGATTTTTTTTTGGTTTTCTCTCTGGCACTGTGGTAGAAAGAGCACAGGAGGCCGGGAGACTGCTCAGTCACCTTAGGCAAGCTCCTTCCTTCTGTGGCAATCTCTGCCCTCTATGCTAAGGGGATTGGCCTGGATGTTCTCTGAAGGCCATTTCTGCCTTCTGGGACATTCTAGGAAAATTTAGGTCCCCAGGAAACTAGAGGGGGAAGGCAGACCTGAAACAGCAATTGTAGAAGATACTTTTCCATGGACACAGGGCCTTTCTCTGTTCCATCTCAACAGGGACTGAGTACTTAACTGTACCCCAACACTAGTGACAAAGAACCGAAGGGGGAAAAGTCACTTTTGTTGCCTTCAAGGATCTTGTCCTTGTGGGAGGGACAGTGCCGATCAAGGAATCACGCAAATCAATGTATAGAGTTCTAATAACTGATGGTTTAGTTGTGGTTGAGGGAAGAGTAGGAGCTGAGTACTGAGGACTTACTGAGGCACAGTGGGGTAAGGGGGGAAAAGCCTTCTAAACTGAGGGAACAGCATCTGCAAAGGCCTTGAGGTTGATGGGAAAGGAGAAGCTGCTAGGTTATAGTGTGTGAGGAGGCTGGAGTGGAGGCAAGAACTAGCCCTCATGAGGCTTTATGGCTGTGCCAAGGACTTTTTCTAAGAGCAGCGGGACATGGCTGAAGGGCTTAAAAAGCAGGGAAGATCAAAAGCATAATGGACATGGGAATTCTTTGTAAGCGGCTTTGAGTGTTGTGCTGCTACCTCTGTACAGTGATGTGATGCTCTTTTCTCTAGCCCTGTGTGTTTTTAACACTTCCTTCATTGCTTACCTTTTCAGGGCTCCCTCTGAGCATTAGCTCAGATTCTGTGGTGGGGTCCGAGTACCTGGAGAGAGAGCCTTCCAAGCTGTACCCCAGCTGCTCCAACATGCGTTCCTACTGCCCATTCCCACTGGGCTACCAGGATGGATCCCCCACTCCGGGGATCCCCCTGCAGCGGGGCTTCCGGCATGTGTCCTGCAGCCACTTCCATGGAGGAGCCTTGGTAAGTCCCATCTCCATTCCTTTCCTGGTTCCTCCTTATCCCAGATGCCCTATTGCTCTTATGGATCCTCAGTCCCAGGAAGCGAACTGATGGGCCAGTCTGTGCCAGGCCCTGAGCACTGGTGGGACGGACACAACATTGACCATGTGCAGTGCTCACCTCTCAGAGTGCACACATGTAGGCAGGTCCATTCGCATGTAAACGGGTTGGCCTGGCTGTCTGGGCTGTGGCATGTGCTTTTCAGAGCTGGGGGATCAGGCAAGAAGGAATGCAGACATAGCTCGGATAAATCTGGGGGCAGCCCGCACGGTACCACTGACTGAGTGAGTGACCGTTAGCCTGGACTCACGGCATGCTGGGGCCGGAAGGGTGCTTCGTTGTTCTGGGCACCAGGAACGAAGTCTCACTGTCCTGGCACCACACTGTTGAGGGCAGAGCCAGGAGCAGATGTAGGTCCCCTGCCCAAAGGTATGGGCCACTTGAGACTTCAGGCACCTTTCAGGAGGAATTGAAGCTTAATCATGAAGAATTAGGGAAACCTTCCCCCAAACACCTGTCACCTCAGGGAATATTTGTTGAAAGAATGGATGAGGTTTAATCTTTTTGTAAGATCAGTGTGGTCCTTTACTAACTGCTGTGCTCTTTAAGCCTGGAATTTTGAATACTGAGTAAGGAAGAGTCAGGCCATCCCTGTTGGGTGAGGTACAAATCGGGGTGAACAGGTTTTGTGGCCTTGGTTACCAGCTCCTTCCAGACCAGACCTCTTGGCAACCCTGAGGCCGGTCAGGGCTGCAGGATAGTCAGAGGCCTGGGTAACTAGTCCTGACTTGTCCCCATCGGGCTGGGCCTGTGGGGCAGGTCGGTTCTAATGTAGCTCACGTTCATGGCAACGTAGACCACCATTACTTTTCCTCCCTCTCTCAGAGCGGAAAGCCTAACCTGGGTGCTCTCTTGCGGGGAGGGTAGGAAAGAGTGAGGACAGGGCAGGCTTCCTTGTTTAATGTGGAAAGTGATTGAAAAGAAAGAGGAACGCTTGACATTTACATACCGACCGAGAGTCTTAGCTGCAGAGCCGAGCCAGTGGGATGCCCTCCCAGATGTGTCCACACAGGTCAGGCACACAGGGCGCTGGGTCCCCACCCTGGCTGCAGCCCCAGCAGCATCTCTTCTGTTTGTTTTAGACATTGTAAAGTTTTACATAAGTCATTTTCCATTGATTCATGGAAAAAGAGTTTGGAAACCACTGGTCTTGATAATTTCCAGGGTGCCTCCTGACCCTTATGGGAGCCATCAGGGTACGCTGTATTACCCTACTATAGAGTAGAGGAAGAAGACTCAGAGAAGTTAGGTATTCGTTTATGGTCACAAAACTGGGGAGGGCGGGCCTCGTATTCAAATTACGTAGCTGGTCAGTAACAGCATTCACCCCAAGTCTGGGACTCACTTTCTCCTTCCCAAGGTATGTCTGTCATGCAGAGGCAGAGGAGACTTGGCCCTTGGCTCTCACCACCACCCCCGCCACACCTGAGCTGTATGGGTGCTGGCCACCCCATTGCAGTCCAAGGAGAGCACAGTGCCTCCAGCCTTCACACAAAGAGCGGGCTCTGGCCAAGTGGAGCACGCACCCACCGTCTGCTCACACAGAAGCTCGGATGGAGCCTGGCGTCCAGGGTAGAGCTCTGATTGACAGGCTTGCCAGACGGCCTTTGTTAAGAGTGTGATCTCAGTTGGTTTATCTGGGCCTGAGCTGCCACCACAGGCCCCAGGCAGGAGCTGTGATCCAGGGAGAGACTTGGCTGAGCAGCTTGGAATTAAAGCACTAATCATCCCCCTTCCTACCCCTTCTTGTCTGGATAGAGGGTCAGGCGTTCATTTCTGATGCCGTTTCAAACCCAAGAGCCTATGAATTGCTCTCATCCTTGTCCCGCTGCCCCCTGCCTGGGCTCTGAGAGACTCCCCAGAGATGTCTTCAGCCTCGTCGTCCTGTCCCTGTCCCGTTTGCTGCTTCTTCACTTCCTCTGTTCTCTTCCCATAAGACGGCACAAGCTCAGAGTTGGACGGACCCAGGATCCAGTCCTGCCTCCACTGTTAACTAACCGAATGACTGGGGAAGCCATCTAACCTCTGAGGGTCTGACTCAGGCTCTCACTCTGGCAGTAGGGGAAAGGGTACCCATCTCAGAGGGCCGCTGACAGAGTGAAGAAGCTGTAATGCCTGGAAAGGGCCTGGCACGGGGCCTGGCACATAGTAGATACTTGAAGGTGGGCTTTCTTCTCTTCCTTGTTAGGAAATGCCGGGTTAATCTAAAGAGATTTTTGCAGACTGCCTCAGGGCTTTAATGTGCTCATGTGTGACTCACCGATGTGGGGGCAGTGCGTGGGGTTTCTCAAACTCCTTTGTCAAAGAACACTTTTAAAAGCACATAAAATATCTTATAGGACACTAGGGTTCTCCAGAACACAGCTTGTAAAGTGCTCTGAAGTTTCTGGATGCAGAAGTAAATAAGAGGAACTACATCTGAAATTCATTATGATTTTTTATTGCTTTCATGTCTTTGTTCAGTGCTAAGCCGTGTAGTCCTCCCTCCAGACGCCCCCATTCCAGCCTTAGTGACCCGTGGCACAAGTGTGGCTTCCATGTTCGGAAGAAGGGGCAGCCACACAGAGGGCTGCCCACCGGAGTCGCTTTGCTGGCGTCCCCAGCTGCCCTTGCCTCAGGAACGGCTGCACTGCACCCAGCTCTTCTGTGGTGTTGGAATAGGGCCTCCAAAGGCCCCCCGACTCTATAGAGTCTAACTCCTTAGCTGTATCAGGAAAAGGGACCACAGGGGTTTGGGATGCATTCGGACCTTCCCCAGAACGGAGCAGTAGAGTCTGACAGACGGATCCAGTTCTGCCTCTGCTGCTTACCAGCCCTGTGGCCCTGGGCCCGAAGCTGCCCCTCATGGACACTGTGTGCCATCATTATCATGAGGAGGGTACTAGAACCTCCCTCCTGGGGTCATGAGGGTGGGTGGAGGTCCCAGATCTGTGCATATACAAAAGGGCTCAGTGTGACTGTGTGGCTGTTCCCCAGGCTCACCTGAGATGTGTCTGAATTTCTTCTTGCCTCCAATCATTTGGGGGGTATTGGCCAAACACCCTGTCCCAAGTGCCCTGTCCCCAGGCGTGGGGGCCACACTGGTGAATGTACCCCTTGGGGAGCCCCCCATTGAGGAGCCTGAGAACCCATTTGACCAGGCTGTCTGGCTAACCCTCTCCCTCTCTGGCTTGTGGGCTGCGTGTGCCCCGCAGGTGCCCGAGCCGGTGGGAGACTTCCAGCCCAGCTACTACCCGCCGCCGCCGCCACCGCCGACCCCACAGCCTCAGTTCCTCCCGCCGGGCTTCCTGTCTGCGCTCCACTTCCTGCCACCGCTGCCGCCGCCCCCACCGCCGGCCTCCTTCTCTCTCACTGTCCCGTCTGATACAGACAGGGAAACCGCTGGTAAGTGGGGCTCCCGTCCGCCAGCTTCTGGGGAGCCAGGAAGACTTTCTGGAGGCAGGGGGCCTAATCTGAAGCGAGAGAAGGGCCGCACTTGGCCCTGGGATGAGCTCTTTCCCTACACCCCTCCCTTTATTCCATATGCAAGCGTCTGAGAGAGGGGGTCCCCAGTCTCAGGTGAGAAAACCAGTGGAACCCAGAGAGGGTCTCGCATATGTAAATGGCAGATGGCAGCGCTCGGATTTCAACAGAACCTGTCTGGCTCCGGCTGCGATGCTAATTCCCTCCCCTTATCAGCGCCTGCGGGCAGAGGTGCGGCGGTG